TTTTTTAAAATAAAATAAAATAAAATAATATTATGCATAAAATATACAGTTATTATATTTAATTTTATAGAAAATACTACTATCCCAATTATTATTATAATTATTTGTTACAATATCACAACTATATTATATTATAATGATAAATATAATTACAATGTATAATACATAATATAATATATTATTATAATATTAAATGTGGTATATTATAATATACGTATATAATTATAATATATTTTATTATATGTTATAAGATATAATTACATTATAATATAAATTATTATAATATAATATTAATTATATTATAGATATTTATATTATAATATATATAATTATAATATTTAAGTTCCCCGCTAACCCGGGAACAAATGCATTCTGCTTCATTTGACATCATTTAATTTCAGTGCTTAAACTTCCTTTTAGTCTGGAAATGAGCTATGTTGTTATATTAGCCGACTTCAAGCGTCACTTTTTAATAGGGTTTGTACATGAATTGGTGATCGACAATTTTCATTGGTTCAGTCACTGACCGACGTCGTCGGCTTCTCAATTCATGAAAACTGAGCATCAAACTGACTGATCAGTGAAGGTTTTTTCAATTGGTTTTGGTTTTGTCATTAATTTGTTGCTTGATCAATAGCAAAAAAGGGCGTCACGACAAAACGGCAATGGAGTAAATGGTAACTTGAATTAGGGTTTTATGAGAGATTGAGAGGTATGGGCCAAATGTCATATAAAAAAAATAATTAAGGAAAAAAAAAACAAATTGTTAGATTAGAATACAATTTTGTATAAAGAGATACGAGAATAAATGCTAATTAAAAACTGAACTCCCCCGAATCCCGTTTCTTTTTAAGTCGATTGATGATTAAAATCTGGATGATTGTAATCATAAGACAACACCTAAAAATAAGGAAGTTAAACTTTCAGCGACTCGTATTAAATTTAAACAGCATTCAATGCATGATAAATTACCTGATAAAACCAAAAAAATACTGGTAGCTCATTCCAAGAGAAACCAACAAGTTCCTCAATCAAGCAATTCAGACGCAGCTGTCTTCCTAAATGCATCAACCTGCGTCAATTGCGCCGCCAAGGCTCGATTTGGGAAAATATTATCTGCCTTCATTCTCTCCCTAATCCCATAAGCTGGTGTCTTGGCATTTACGTAGGCCTGAATAAGAGCTTGGAACTGACGAAATCTAGCATCATAACCAGCCCACTTCAGCCTAAGAAACATCTTTTCTGTGTTGTGAATATCACCTCTCTTTGCGTATTCATCCATTATAGCCATATATGTCTAATTCTTTCTTCTGTGACTATGTTCGCTTCGTTCGTTGCAATCTCAGCTCTATATTACTACCTGCACCGTGGATTCTTGAACTCCATTTGAGCTTTGATTGTTGCACTACCTCGTCGATCTCTCGATCATCGTCTAAGTCCCACCAGTCTTTGCCTTCGTATGGCAACGATCGCTCCGAACTGACTACGTACGATGGGTTTCTTCGACATGTTTTAAGACAAATATAAATTATAAAAGAAAAACTAGGGCAATATGGATTGAAAGACCGTGGAAGACAAGATTTGAAAGAACTTATAAAGCACTTTCAAGAGTTTTTGCACCGAAAAAGCCAAAAAGCCTTAAAAATCGCTTAATTTCGTTTGTTTCGTTAATTCGAGTTAAGATGTAAAATTTTTTAATAATATTAAAAAAATTAAATATAATTATTTCTAAAATTTTTTTACTATAATAAAATTTATATCAGTAAAATAAATGAAACTTTATTTTCTCGAGAAATGACAAGAAAATGATACCAAAATGTGTGAAATTAGAAAGAAATGCCTCTGTAGACTCTAATTGTGAAATAAAGAAGAAAAGGAAAAGAATCTTTCTTGACAATACGGAGAAACTCAGAGAAAATTTGAAGAACTTTAAAAGAGAGAAAGTGGGAGTGAAAAAAGGAGAGAGAAAATGAGAGTGAAAAAAAGGAGGAGACAAAGAAATTTAATGGTCATGTTTATTTAACTGATTTGAATTTAAAATTTAAATTTTATTATAGTAAAAAATTCTTAAAAATAATTATATTTAATTTTTTTATTATAATAAAAAATTCTCATATAAAATTACATCTTAATTTAAATAAAAAATTCAAATTAACAAATTAAACGACCTTATATTATCTGAAGCTTAGAATGAACAACTGAGATAATCTACTAGAAATGATCTGAGTCCGTTCATTTTGCTGATTTAAATTTATAATTTGAATTAAGATGTGATTTTATGTGAAAATTTTTTACTATAATAAAAAAAATTAAATGTGACTGTTTTTAAAATTTTTTTACTATAATAAAATTTAAATTTTATATTCGAATAGTAAAGTGAGCGAGGCCTTAATGAGTTAGATCCGACATCTTTTCAAGTTTCTACTTAAACTGAGGCCTTGTCTCATAAAGGGTAAGTGACGATCAGTGCAATAATTTGAAATGCACCAATTAGATCGATCCACGTGTCCAAGTTACTGGCATTCGTGTCTTTCCAAAGAAATTTCATGATGGCTGTGAGAAGGTAAGGTTTCGTGCAAGAGAAGCAAGGATTGGTCGAGCTAAAAGATCGATTGTTTGATCGTCATGTTCAATTACACTCGTGTAGTCGATCTTAATTGACTAAAGAGTGGGGGACTAATTGTTGGAGTATGATTTGGACGGCCCAAATCAGCGAGTAAGGCCCAATGTGTTTAGCCCGTTATGCGATTCAAATAGATCGAGTCCATCATGAATGTTCAATTGAGCTCGTCAGGAGCGTTTGAACAAGTTTATTGGAAGTTGTTGGGATTTGTTTCCCGAATCTTATATTGATGGTTGGGTTTGTTTCTCAAATTTTGTATTGATTCTATTCATTATGTGGTTGGCATTATTTTGAAAATATTTGGCTGATTAATTGGGTTTGAAATTAGATGTACAGCTGGCAAGATCTTTATGAAAGTTTTCTAATGGACTGGAAACTTATTTTAGTTTCCATTTTTAAAAATCAACTTGTGATCCAAAGATGGTAGGTTGATTTGATTGATTTTTGATGGAGATTTCGTAGCTGTATGATCTGCCTCTGTCTCCTAAGATCGTGACCAGGTTCATATATCAGTTATGGGAAGGTTTCAGAATTAAAGCAGATTGATTCACACTGGTTTTGAGAAAGTTGACTGTGACAGCTATGTTGCAGTTATTGTTGCAACAAGGATCTGCAACAGATTTGGTTCAGCGAATTTTTTTGAGGAGGTCGTAAAGATATTAACTTTCTGCTTATTTATTCAAAGAGTCTCTGGGTTTATTGTACACCTTTTGATTAGTTTTGCTGGGTTGTGTGAGAGGTGAGCACTTGTATTCAAGAGAGATGATTTGAGTATTTTTGAGAGAAAAACTTAGTTGGAGGGATTCCAATGTTAAAAAGTCGAGGGGATCTCGCTGTTCAAGTCAATTGGGAAATTGTAAGTTCATAGGCGTCTTCTTAGAGAGGGGGTCTCGGGTAGATTAAGTCCAATTGAATTGTAAAAGAGTTATTAGTGGATTGTTCATCATCTGGGCGTGGCCCCGCAGAGTAGGGTGTTACTGAACCGCGATACCATTTCTCTCGTGTTCTTTTATTTTATGTTTTTGGATTATTCATATTGTCTTATAAAGTGTTAAAAAGACTCAAACCAGTACTAACAGAAGTATTCAACGGAACTGTTCGATCAAGGCAAATCAACGTTATTTAGTTCAATGGGTATATTTTGTTTGATATGCTAGATATAAAGACAATCGAAGATGGATAAGCATTACATAGAAAACTACGGCCCCGTTCATTTCACCGATTCGAGTTTTGCTACAGTAAAAAGCTCTTAGAAACAGTCATATCTAACTTTTTTGCTACAGTAAAAAGCTCTCACATAAAATTACATCTCAACTTAAATTAAAAACTCAAATCAGTAAACTAAATGAGCCATACATCTCTTTGCTCATTTGGATTGACATGTTGGATTTGAGCTCGAAACGACAAAGGAATCAAGACCTACCAACTCAGGTAAAATATCATGGGAACATGGTCCGAAACTCGTGTCTAATAAGAGGCTGACACATGTCACACTACCACAATCACTATTCGTGAGGTCCACTCTTCCCACCAGTTGAAGTCCATGATCTCAGAGAGGCCTCTATAAATTGGGGGTGAGGGCACCATTTAAAGGCATTCAGATTTAGATCCTGGATTTTCATTTATCTCCTCCGAAAGACTACAGCAAATACTTTCCATTTTACTTACAAAAATCTCTCATCTTTATCATTTCATTTACTTTTAATCTGAATTACTATAACCTGGATTGAATTCATCATTTAATGGAGAAACAATAGTGGACATAGCTCTATTCAAGAGTGAACCACTATAAAATTTACGTATGCTATCTTTATTTTTACATCGTTTACTATCAAATTCGTTTTATTGATTTGTGATTGTCATCATCCATATTCTAACCTTGCTTGTAAGTTTGTTAGGACCTAATAACGGTGATTTGAGG